GTTCAGACGTGTGCTCTTCCGATCTTTGAACAAGGATGCAGATGGGCGACTCGTTTTCTATCTCTTTTTATGTGCTCACGCATTCTTATAGCTGGCTCCTCCACTTGATCTAAACGCATGGACCTAAGAATACATGGACAGACTCTTTTGCGAGGGGAAAGTGATAATAGCGGTAAGGGGGCAGTATCATAGGCATAGGAATACTACACTGATTTCGGCTAATTCCGTGAGCGTAAATTTGGAAGTGTTCGGTATAAGCTTAGAACATATATGTATAAATGAAAGAGATGCTCATAAGATGAATAGAGAGGTCACGTCCGTCGTTTGGCCGCGCGCATGCGCACTTTTGAAAAAGCACTTACAAGAGAAAGAGCAAGAGAGAGAGGTATATGATTTCCTTTCTCACTTCTATCGGACGCTTTTTGATTTCCCATTCTCATTCCATTTATATATGTTTTATGGGTATAATAGTGTTCTGTCACTGTTCTGTGGAAGCGTCTTCTCTCTCTGCATGCGTCGAATATTACCAAACGTAACCGAAATGTACCGAAGTCAGTAATTTGATCCCACGTGATCCCACGTGATTCCCTTACGTCGAATATCATTACCCCTCTCGCCTTTTTAATCAGCAAATCCGTCCATATATTCCTACGTCAATGGATCTAAAGGGAGATCCATAAATATTATAACTGACGCGTAAAAAAACTATGATTATTTTTATTCTAATAAATTGCAGTGTATTATTTCAGAATTTAAATTTTGTTCCATTTATTCATTTATTGAGATTTGCAAAATTATAATTCACGCAATTTTTTATACTTTAATTTGTCAAAACTTTGAAAGAAACTCGGAAATATAACTTTCTGTTGCAATCAAGATTGCACGGATAAAAGTTATTACAATTGTTTCTAACGATTCAAATTAGTTTTCAAATGGAAAAGTGCACTCTATATCAACAACAAGTTTACGAAAGCCTTAAATTAAGAGTATTCCGGATAGTATATTTCTTTATATACAATTCGGAATATATAAGCTTAGATTCCATTAGTTTCCAAATATCGACTTATTCCTGTAATTTATTTCCCCGATCTCGCATGCTAATCCTTAGATGAATGAAAAGCCTCACCGGTTGAATATTTCGAAATCCAATAGAGTCTGTATACGCCAGACGATGTCGTCGGAATTCGTCACGAGGATTTCCCGGCATGGTCTCGTCTGGAAGGATTGAGAGTTTATACTGGAATCAATGCAGTCTCGTTTCGGGCATGGTTTGCATTCCCCGTCCAATCTTCCCTCCTTTCACATTCCACCGGTCGGTTGCATTTGAATTATCTTATGACTATCCGGCTTTATTTTCATAATGCATGAGATTAAACTCGCGATTAAACTTCGTTTCTTTTTTCTTTTGTCTCTTAACGTTAAGAGTTGAGGAGGAAACTTTTCCGAATATCGGTCGGTGCGGAACTTTCAAATTGCCGAGGTAGCCGCAAACGAGAAAGAGCATGTTTGCAGTAATGAAACGTATCCGGACTAATTAGGAAACGTGAGTTTTACATTATTTCGCGCGATAATGAAGCAATTAAACTTCCGTACAGTTCATTCTTATCGATTAATTCAAATAGAAACGCAATCAATTCTAACAAAGCACGATCGTCGTGTCGCGCTTCGACAATCGTTCAATTTTATTTATTTAGAAAACGCGCGTTATTTCGCACAAAATGACGCAACGTGACCAAACAATTTGATTATCGCCGGGTGGC